TCTTTAGAAACTTTGTGCAAATCAGTTAAAGTGAAGGCTATTGGATTTGTGTTTAAACAGCAGTGAATGACAAGGCACTATACAGGCCAGGAAAACTCATACTCTTATCTTTTCCATATGAAGGATCAAAGGAAAAAACTAGACTCCACCAGCAAAACAAACTGATAAAAAGAGCAGAGGCAGAAAAGAAGTTCACCTTAAAAAAGATCAACATGTTTACCACAGCAAAAGAGGTCAGAAAACCCATGAGCCATTTCTTCATAAGGAACAATAACCATTTTAGGGCCAATCAGATAACAGTAGTCATGTGGGCTGTAGCTGTGAGCCAATCAGACGTGGCATTAGTGACATCACATGTACACTTGGACTTAAACCAAAAACATGATCCACCAGAAACCAGAATCTTATTGAATCAGTCCCCAAAGTCCCACCCAATTGTCTGCTCCAGTTTCATCTGTGAGATCACTTTCTGGAGTCAGGCTAAAGACTTCTCTGACCTATTTACAATTTGGGACTAAGCATAGAAACTAAGTACAGTACAGGTAACATGAGAAGACCCACACACAACAGATGCTGTGCAAATCAGCAGACCCTGAGCATATGGTCTCCTTATACTGCCTGTTATAAATGCTAAATATTGACTCCTTCTCTGACATAACCTTAGTTAATGTATAACTGTACAGGTGGAGTTTTGTGGTGGTAAAGCAAATATGACTCACTGCCTTTTCAACAGTGTATGCAACCATGATGAAATAAGTTAAAGTTAAAAAGTTGAGTGAATGATTGGTGCTGTTTGGAGGAGTCAATGGCACAGATTGGCAGCCATGCTTACACCAGTCTACCCCAGGGCATCTATGGCAACAGGAATAGTTTATCAGCTGAAGTGAATATAAAGTATCTTTGAGCATCTTAAAGAGAGCTGCATATTTACTTTTAACCAGTGATTCATCGCTTTTGGATTGCAATGTGATATATTTTTTTCCACTAACACAAAACTAACACTGAAAATCCAATCCAACATCATGAATCAAATCTTTTACAATGTTTTTATAACCAGAAACCAGACCAAATGACCCTACTTTGAGATTACACAACCTTCACATTGCTAATTAGAGAGCTGTCGGACCATATGAAATCATAGTTTAATTGCACAGTTACTTTTATAGCCCCTAAAATGTGTCCTCATTTGAAGCACCTTAACCTAACACAGAGAACTGTACACGTCCTGCAAAGATGATTGTGTTCAAATGTTGGCCTGGAGCGTGCGCACATGTTGGGCAGACCGTGGACAGATGTTAGGGGGCTCTTCACAATAAAAGCACGTGATGCTCAAAGAGACTGTGCTGACCCTGAGACATAGTGACTCAATTAGCTTCCCATAAGCAGAGTGCGCCATGGGGGTTTATTTAAGCTTATTAAAACATTAACCCACTAACGGTGCACTGGAGCACTCGCAATTTAGTTAGACAGAGCTATAACATTAAAGGTGCACTGTGTAACTTTTCTGGTGGAGGGTTTGTCAAATGCTTTCCTCCATGGAAATGTTATTGCGTTGTCTGGAATGTTTCACAATATGGTATTAAACCTTTCTATCATCATGGAGACCCAACTAAAGCAAGTAACAGGTCAGATCTGTGGAGAATGCCTTTTTTTCTAGGTATTTTTGAGCTGTGATTTAATAAATGTAATGTAGAGCAGTTTAATGCCATACTGTGGAACATTCCAGACAGAGCAATGACAAGCAGGTGACGGACCCCCAACCAAAAAGTTACATAGTGCACATTTAGTTTAGGTTAGCAATGCATTATTGGAGAGCTTATATTAGCTTGTCTTGTTTGCACCAATCTCAGTATTTTTATTGTACACATGACTTAAATACAAATGATAACAACAAAACAAAATCAAATTAAAGGCTTTGATCAAAGGACAGAGAAACTCAGTTTTTCTTCCCACAAACGCAAAATAGACTTGCCCAGACCTGTTTTGTGAGCTTTAATTTTTCCTTTTGCCTGCACGCCTCAAAGCAAGAAGGTCTCAGGTTCGGTTCCCAGTCTATTGGGTCTTTAGGTGTCCCAGTTTCCAATTTTCCAGCAAGATTCTGCAGAGATCCTGGCCATGCTTTCTCCCTTAATTCCTGTTACACTATCAAAATTAGATGTAGGTGAAGGCTTTATTATCAAATGAGCTGATTAGAAGCCTAAAGATTGTATTTTCATTAAATATCAAATTCAGAAATACCATGTGGTGTAGTGGGCAGACAGTCTGGTCCCTTGCTGTTAAACCCCTGAGTGTGTTTTTTAATCAGGCCCCAGACATATTGCATCGCATTACAAGAGCTTGAGCAACAGTTAATCCTAAAGACAATGTACAAAGTGGACCTTAGTGGAGTGATCAGATCTCTTCTCAGTGCCAAACTGGCTTCACCGAGTAGTATTGATTCATTACATCAACCTGGGGGGTGTGATGCTAACTAAAAGCCCTACTCTGTTAGAAGCTCTCTTAATAAAATTCAACTTAATCCAATCTTTATTTTTAACACAATCTGACAAGAAAGAGCTGACTTGATTGGAACTACAACAGGTGAGCTGATTTGTGCACTTAAACTTATTGTACTCTTAAAAATGTGTTATTTAAATCTGTTTTGTGTAGCAGTTTTCTGTATAGTCTTCTTTTTTTGTTTTTGTTAGGGTTAGGGTCTTAAGTCATTTTTTGTCAGTTTGCTAATGTGTACAATTGTGTCACCATGGTAATCACTACATGCATCTCCAACGGTGGAATGTTTAGAGCCCCCCCTAGCACAATATCACTGCAAAGTATCAATAACAGATGCTACACATGCTGAGAGGTTAACATTACAAAGGGAGTTATCATTGCGGTGGTTCCAAAAGTCCTCCAGACTTTTACACTTGGCTGAAAATGAGACTCATGATTCTAGTCCTTTCATGCAGAGTCAGGGTTCACTTGTTACCTAATTCATTCGTAGAAGTTACATAAAAAGTTTTTGGACGACTGGTTCGGTAACTGTCTATAGAGTTTTTACACATGGTTGAAGGTAATCCTCTCTGGGCCACACACTTCACACCAACACACTCAAGGGATTTGTAGGTTTAACGTCATCAAAAAATTGTTGACATAGTTCCAAATGAGAAATCTGAATAGGCCTTTATCTAGATTGTATTGGTCATGTTGAGAGGTGAAACTAAATAAAGTTTTTAGTAAAAGAACTCTATATCTAAAAGGTATGCCAAAAAGCTATATTGTGGATATTGTGGTTTTACAGACCCTCAATACCAATTATTATTATTATTATTAGTAGTAGTAGTAGTAGTAGTAGTAGTAGTAGTAGTAGTAGTAGTAGTAGTGGTAGTAGCAGTACTAGCAGTAGTAGCAGTAGTAGTAGTAGTAATAGTATGTCATTAAGAGATAGAGAAAGCAACCTACATATTCTGAGAGTCCAGTGTGCTGCAATTAAACAGAAGATGTCACCAAAATGGTCATTAGGTGCAGACATATAGACTGTACAAAGAATATTTATACTTATACCACGATTTGTATTCATCACCATATGGGTATTCTCTAATTATCACATTTACATGTTGTGTCCTAGACCCTCTGTATAACTTCTGTTTTGAGCAGTCAGGTAAGTATTATGTTGAAACAGACTGAAACCACAGTCAAGTCACTGAATACAAGGCCTCTCCCAAAACGACTGCCAGACATAACAATTGACTTTCCTTCTCAAATAATGGTGGAAATTGGAGCCTTGAAACTATGATAATTAAAGAACATCTCGGCTCGGTTTCTCCAGCAGTATGTCTGGACAGTATACTCATCCGCAGTCTGCCAGACAACACAGACTTTCTGCAGCATGCCAACCTATCATTATCTTCAGTAAACAATTTTAGATAACTTGATGCAATTTTTGTATATTGTGGTGGAAACACACTTCTATGAATAGAAAAAAAAAGCAATTTGAGGGAGTTTTAATCCTCTGCACAGGAGACATAGTGGCTACAGCGGTCAGTATATAGCTCCATGTTCTGTGTTCTATACCACATTGTTTTAATGACAGTTGCTAATTATATGAACATCTGGGCTATATTTTGCACAATAGCATAATCTTCCAGTATCAGCTGTTTGCTTATTAACTCTTCTAATATAAAAAGGCTTGGGACAGGCACAATCACACTGGTCATAAATCCATTGTTGATGTGTTTACAAAGTTCAGCCATGGTAAATACCATTTACATAAACACCCTGTAATTTATACATAGGCTAAAGGTAATTAACCACTATAGAATAACAGAGATATGCAATCTTAAATAGTTTATATTTTATTTATTGTTCCATTCATACAAGTCAAACAGCTCCAACACTCACACACTGTTAAGTACCAATTAGTACAGCCATTGATTGACTTTTAACAACATTATAAACACATATGTGATTATTACTATGTAACATACATAACAAAGTGATACTCCAGCTCTGTACTGCTGCTGATCACTTTTTGGCCCTCAAGATCTGGATAAATAAACAGAGCTGAATTAAAGGCTTCTGAAAAATAAGAAGCAAACAAGGAGTCGGCCTCTTTTTGTGATGTGTCATTTCAGACGAGGACAGACCAACAAAGAAATGCATAATTACACTTTTAGGCAAAGATAGACCCTGTGATCAGCCAAAGTATGGTTTGTTGCAGCAGGCATGCATTCAACAGCTTCTCTGAATCATATATAGGAACAAACTCCTCTAAGAGTAACGAAGGTACTAGCATGGCATGAATGATATGGTCTGTGCGAGACTCTTTGGTAAATGCAAACTACACTTACTCAGTTATTGCTTGAATAGTAATGACATTAGGCCTTAATGGATCAAAGATGCCAAAAAGCTAAGAACTTTCTGTGTTAACAGTACAACAGAATCTTAATATATGTGTAAAGTGGTATTATTGCAACCATGTACAAATATGGCACATGCTTTAATAAAAACATTATAATAGATTTGTGATCTAAATAGTTCTTTACTGAAATTACAAACAAAAGTGCAGGAGAAGCTTAGATTTTAAACCTAAAGGGCTTATAACAAACAAAATTGTGACATTAATTACTTTTGTCAAAATCAGACAAAATATTTTGGTACACAGAAGGAACTGATTATGTGATGAGCTTGCTCACATTTCCTTTGGATAAGTCCACTACAATATGCAGTCCTCTTGCCAGAGAAGTTCATTCAGTCTTAGATGAATGCAGGTAAATTTCACAGTTCATGTTAGCTGAAGGGAACTGTTAATGGTTGCCACTTTATGGTTGGCACAACTTTGTCCAGCTGTCCCAAGGCCCTGCCATTTTGAGGTGATACTCCATTGAAGTTTTAAGGCAAGTCCTCCTGAGTCCTCCAAATACAAAGAAACTAACAGATCCAGTTAAGGGACAGTTCAAGCAGTCAGACCTTCTGTCACTGGACACACACATATTTCTTCCACCAGGATTTTGAAAGCATCTTCATCTTATCAGCCGTACTGCGCACTTTCCTCTCCCTCCTGGCCCTCCTGTCAGATTGTCGTAATCCCACCGCGATGGCGGCGTCAAACACCTCCTTCAGATTCTTTTGTGTGAGAGCAGAACACTCCACGTACGTCACAGCTCCGATTTTGTCCGCCAAAGCCCGGGCGTCCTCCTCCTCCACAGGCCTCTCCCTCCTGCGGGACAGCTCAATCAGCACCTTTACATCCTGTCGCAGATCACACTGGGTGCCCACCAAAAGGATAGGGGTCAGGGGGCATCGACGCCGGATCTCGGGCACCCACTTCTCCCAGACATTCTGAAAGGAGGCGGGGCTAACCACGCTGAAGCACAGGAGCAAGGCATCAGTCCGGCTGTAGCAGAAGTGACGCAGTTTGTCAAATTCATCCTGGGGAATACAGAAGAGTAGATATTAGGAGATGAGTACAATTGTGTAACACATTTAAGACGTACAATGTTCCACTGTATGGCATTAAAAGCAACTGTTTCTATGGAGGCAAGCAGGTTGTTCCTCCAAGCTAAGCTATAGGTCAGATCTGTGGAGTGGTGAGCCCATTCACAGTAAGAATGTCTTTTACGGTACTTCCTAGCAATATAGAGTCCTATAATTGAATAAATGCAAACTAGATAATGTTTAATCCCATTTTGTGAAACATTTTGGAAGAATAAATAGCATCTCCATGGAGACAAGCAGGTTGCAAAGCTTCCACCAGTACAGTAACAGTAATAGATATTATTATTAGTAGTAGTAGTAGTAGTATTAGTAGTAGTATTCAGTATTTTCACACAGAAAATATCTTAGTGCTACACAATTCATGCTACCACCAGCTAACACAGCCCCCCACATCTTTAAGTACATAGATTAATCCCCACACACTGCCTCACAGTTTCCTAATCTCCATTTGTTGAGCCTCGGCATTGTATTGGCTCCATGCTGATTTTGCAGACAAATGTGAAGAAGCAAACTGAAATTATGAAGACTAACAAAAAGGTCTGTGGTGTTATTTTTGCAGACACTCAACAGCAGACTGCTTGCACATGCTTTGGCTGGGGGCAACAGTGAAATGATGTAGATAGTAGTGGAATACACAAAACTATCAACATCTGTGACTAAGAAGCAGATTTGTTTATCATCTTTGGAGGCAGTGTTTTTTTTGTCACTAACACTGGCTTGATCTTGTCCCTAAGCCAATCTTGTGAAACTACCTCACTACAGTAAGTACTTCCTGACTTTTGATCTTACCATATTTGCCCAAGGTTGTCTGCATATATATATTAGAGGTAGAGGTAATATTAAAGATAAAATGGCTTTTTCCGCTTTGTCATTGCCCAATTGAGGTTGATAGTGCAGAGAACTGGCAGTGCCCACTTTGAGGCAGTGTGCACAGTGTTAGCTAATGTTAAATATGTAGCTAAGGGGCAGAATTTTATTGAGTTTGATTAAGAAACAGCCGCCCTCGCCTTGCAGAAATAAAACATGGTTGCACAACATGTTCCCTCTGAGATAGATTTAATAGATCAGTAACTTTGGCTCTCCACCAGCACACTCTTTTCTCTTGCTTATTAATCATAGGAATCTAAACTATCATCATGTATTTGTATACTTTCAGACAAGGAGGGGCAGGTAATCTAAAACACTCTTTACTCGGCTGCACAGTTTACTTAAAAAGCACTTTGTACAAGCATTCATACCAACAAATGTATTACAATTATATTACCATTTCATACAGTTCTGTGTAGGAGTTGTAGAAAGACTAATCAGAAATAGCAATTACCCCTGAAGTAGACTATAAATATATACTAAATATACTGTATACTATGTGAACTATAACTTTACTGTCTATCAGTAAATAATAGTTGAAACTCACCTGTCCAGCAGTGTCACATAGCTGTAACCTGACCGGGTGTCCATCCACTTGTACAACAGCTGTAGACACACAAAATATAATATTTGGTTATTTTTTTTATTTACATGGCAGTGGTATTGTGGTGGCAGCATGCAAATATACAAGATCCCACCAATCACTAGGCAGCCCCAAAAGTTGAACGTGGATTGCTTAGCCTTTCTTTAGTATATTATATTAGTAAATATTAAGGACATTTAATGGGATAATGGGTGAACACTATATTTTATTTTTGTGTCAAAATGTGTATGTTTTTCCTGTTTGTCCAGAAAAACTAAGATGAATATATATAATAAATTCTACAACTAAGATAATCTTAGAGCTGATCACAAAGCTAGAAACAGTCCTGTTACATGTCAGCAGTGCAGTACAACCATATACAATGCACTGCCCACCCACTCTGCCATTTACCGTTGAGACCCTCACAGCAACAGTCCAAGGTTGTAAAAAAAAAAAAAAGAAGTGAAGAGTGGGTGAGTCACTGTTTCATTGTAAAGCCATTATTCTTTTTGAAAAGAGCGAACACAATACAAAGCAGTGGGCACATGGAAACATTTACTTTAAAAGGCCTGGAGTGTGGTCCGTCATAGCACCTGATCAAAGTGCTGCACAAACTAGTCATGTTTTTGGGAAAGGTACCATCGCACAGACTTGACTAATGCTCAGGGGCCTGATTGATTTACTTAAATACTTTTGGTTTGATTTTATAGTTTTTTGGAACATTGTATTTGTGGGATTTATTTAGTTGTAACAATATTTATGCTTGAAGAAAATGAAGCCTATTTTATCAAAATTTCAAAAGCCAAATGGAGGATGTTGAACTCTACTAGTCCCTGACACATGATATTCATTAGATCATTTTTAGTGAATCATTAATGTCGACTCACTCTCTCTCTGTCCTCCATATCTCTACCACCTGTGCCTTGTTGCATAATTTCTGGACAGCAAGCTTTCTGAAAGAACACTGATTGCAGGCACAGAAATATGACATCACCACCGAGGGCCTCAACTCCACAATCCCCCTGTGTCAAAAGAGTCCCGCAAGACAATCTGAGCCTTAGAGCCATTGCAACAGATGTGGTCACTCCAGTGGAGAGAGAAAGGGCTGCCGGGTCAGGGCTCACAACAATAGGCAGAGTTGTGCAATCTAAAACCACTGAGCAGAGACACACTGGCTTTTGTATGGAGAAGGTAGAGCCAGCCTCTAGCTCTGGGCTATCTGCCTGCACCAACCACTGCTTTATGAGATGTGTCTTAGTGGAGTTGTTAGTTTTACCGCTCATCTATAATTTCATATAATTAACATAATGAATGTCACCACAAAACAAAAATGCAACAAGTCTCAGCTATTTACTTTGTAACAACAGAGCCTTTTGAAGGATTAGCCCCCACCTTTATTTTTTAGTAAACAAGGCATGTAGCTACATGAAAGCCTCGAACACAGAACCCACTCAAAAATATATAGAGACTGAAGCTGCCTACATAGTGAGAATATATAATATAAAATATAATATATAAATCCGCTAATGTGAGTGCAGACCCAAAAAAATGTAGCCCACAGAAAAAACTAATTTTTAACCACTTCTAAAATACTGTGGTTTTATAGTTAACTCCATATCATTTAGCCAAGTTGGGTCAAGCTGGCGCAGAATGAGGCAATATACCTCAGAAACCTACCAGAGAAGTCATCAAACGCAGTGGGCACATATTTGGTTGGATATCCATTGGTGGTGTAGCTGACCACCAGGCTCGTTTTTCCCACCGCTCCGTCCCCCAGGAGCACGCACTTGAGCAGCCTCTCGTGCGGCTGTCCCGTGCGCGTAGGTTTGGGTTTGTGCGGAGGTACCGGGGGAGCCATGGTCTTTGGGTAATCCATGCTGAACGGAGGCGACATTCAGACCAGTCCCATGCGCACTCCCGTCTGCTTCTCGCGATTTGGCTGTGGCCGTCCTCAATAACCAACGTGCTGTTGTAAAGTGAAGTTTCCAAACGCACAGGCTGGTGACCTCTCTTACAACTCTGGAGAGGGCGGGTCCGCAGAGTGCATGCATTTGACTAATCCCACCCACTTCAACACCCCTCAAGTGGAATTACGCTATGATCATGGCTATGGTTTATCCACTTTTATCTCGTCTTAATAATGTCCAGATTGGTGACCTTAGAGTCATTATTAAATAATGACCAGGGTTGAATAACCATGGTATAATGTGTAGGCTGTTCAATGACAAAGTCCAACCATGTTTCATTTTTGTCCTCCTGTGATGGCCTATTTCAAACCAAACTAACATAGTTCACTAAAATTCTCAGTCATCTGCGTATATTTGTAAAATACAGTGAAATAATATATTTTGATGTAGCACATAGACATTATTAGAGATAGATTTTATGTCATTATGTAGTTGGAGCAGATTTGAGAACAGCTGTCAAATCCATTGACTGTGGTTTCAGGAAAAGCCACTTTGCTAAATCTTTAGTCGCCCCCTTGTGTTGAATGAGTGCAAGAAGTCGCAATGTGCAGTTAATGTTTGGTAAACTAGAAAAAAAGGTATATACGAATGCGTGTCTGTTTTAACAATTTATTGTTTCATTGAAAATTAGTTGAATTACACAAATAAAAAGTAATGTGAAATGTGATTCATTTAGCTAAATTTCCCCCTCTGAAAACAAAAACATTTAGAGAAAAACTATAAAGAATAGGATGTCTTTGCTTCTTGAATCCTATTGCTTTAGTCTAGTCTACACATTGAATCAATGTATAGATTTAAACAGAAAAAGGATATCTAAAGCTCGTAAAATGATTAAAATACACAATCCTGACAGTCATGTCATACACTGGTTCATAATAAATATAAGGCATAGATTCATTTCATAAGCAGACACTAAAGGCAATGTGAATCATTTAGTATCCTAAAACAATCTTATTAATCCTAGAGTCATTTTAATTACTATTATGTAACATACCTGCTAATACACTGATGCCAATGGTGGAGTACACAGTAAGAGTTTCATGGTCAGGGGTTGGTGTTAGATATTGTGATCCATGCAGTAAGACCCACAGTTAGAAAGGCACCGTCCACACTTAACTCCAATGATCTTTCATGTTTTTCCTTCGGCTTGGATATGTTATGACAACCCAATAGAGCTCTGTATATTATTATTAGATGATAACATTGTAACAATCACCATACAGAGTTCTTTTGGGTTAAAAATTGAAGATTAACTGAAACTATTTTGGATAGAATATGGATGATAGCGTCCTCTCAGCAGGCTTAAATTCATACATTACACACACACACACCATAGACTGTATATATAAAGTCTATGACACACACAGACACACACACACACACACACAAAGTTAAACTATCATGAAGATGAAAAATACAGTGATCATATTGCACATGAGCGGCCACTTAGACACATGCATCCTGATAATTCTAGAGTGAATGACAACCCCTGTCTTCAAATGAACCACTGACTGTTGGTGGAACACAGTAGCTACTGGAAGTTACACACCTTCCAATCCGGTCTTGTTTTAGTCAATTTGGATGAAAGCTGTCAATAAGACATTTTTAAAAACAATCCATCAGTCCATCATCTCTGACGTGAAAAACCATCTCATTCAAGTGTCCATAAACATCTATTTCACCATACTCAGGCCCACTTCTAACCCTAATACCGGTTCAGGTTGAGTATGAAACACCATGCGTGATCCCGGTGAGTGTCGTCTTTAGTTCCTGTCCATGTCTCTGGAGCTCAAGCACAGACTGTTGTTAAGACCTCTGAGTGACAGTCTGTAGCTCCTTTGGATTCTGTAGTTTCATGTCCCCTCTTGGTTAGTGGGCATTGGGTTTAGCGCCACCTGGTGTTTGATCAGGGGGTGGAGAGCCCCCATGGGCAAGTCTCAGCAGACTAAAGAGAAAATGCTCTAGTCAGGAATTACAAAAAATAACTCACACCTTTCATCATTAATTGCTTTAACAAGTTGCATTTAGATCTTAATTATTTTAGACATTATTGCTGTGTGAAAAGGTATTTAAGAATTAAATCCTGCAGATGGCACTGTACTCACATGTCCGTGATGTTGTCATAATGACCCTGAATTTTAGCAACAACACTGTCAACCTGCACCTATACAACAAAAGTAAATCCAAAAAATAAATAAATAAATAAAATAAAAATCAATCATGATTAATAAGCAAATGTGTAACCTGGTGTCTCTGATAGAACAAAGGCAATGAAAACAGGGCAATGACACCTGAAAAATTACATTGAGACAAAAGATTAGAAATTCATTAAATTCTTATTATTCTTCAAAATTACAAATGCTTTTCTACTATCAATGACAAACACTCACCGATGATGAGGAGAGTAAGGCCATTGAACAATTTTCCCACAAATGTCACAAGGTAGAGTAGAAACAGGAACTAATAAAATACCAAACCAGAGCATTAATTACCACAGGCTCACAGTGAAATACAGTATGTTGTTTATTTTTTGTTACTCAAACACTAAAAATATTTTTAGACATGTAGACATTTAGTGAGAAACCAATCATCCACACTGAGCTGCATTGATGGGTGTTTCCCCTTTTACCCCACTGTCACAGAGGGGGCAGGGAGCGCACTGTCCTGACATGGGACACCCCTGCGTCAGATTCCAGGGGCGCTGCTCAGACTGCTGTGTGTTACATACCGGCCAGGTCAGGGTTGACACCACAAGGATCTACAGGGGCCAGTGCACACAGACTGTACGTGCACTGTAAATGTGATAACTATGCCAAATAATTCATTGTAGTACTAGGACTCGGATGAAATAGAAGTTTTATACTTATTGCGTTAAGTTAAAGCACCACCAGATTTCTATCTAAATAAAATACCAGTCTTTTCAAAGTTGCTGAAATGTCAAAAAGAAAACATTTGAGCAAATATCCATTAAGTGTGATAATAAATGTACACATTTTCAGTGTATGAATTCTTTTGGTAGATTGAAGGTGTTTTCTGATATATGCAATGGTGTGTTAGAAAAGGGTTGCTTGAAGTACTATTACATATAAAAATACTAATTGGTTCTGCATTCTGATTGGTTCTCATTATGTGGTTCTAATTATGAGCATTAACAACACCGAATAAATTATTATACCACACACAATTTTTTACTTACTTTGAGGGAATTAAAAAGGTTTCCCACAAAAAATAGTCTCTTCAGGGCATCCACAACTGACAGAACTGTTACAATGGCTTTTTGCATGTACCTATCAGCCAGCTCTCCACTCAAACTGATGTCCAAATCCAGGTAAGACCTAAGACAGGGTCATATAGCAAAATTAATCACATACAACATGGCAAGAATTAACCTGTTAAAACTTTGGAGGCCAATATAGTGTCTTACTTAAAGGGGTGCACGCCATCGCCCCAGTTGAGGATGTAGAGGACCTGGTAGTAGATTCTCACAGAGATAGTGAAGCACATAACAGCCAAAGAGACGGTGGCCAGCACAGAGATGATACTGAGCTGAAACAGTGACAGCAGGCCCACCACTATCCCGGTCAGCACCATGCCAGACCGCTCCGTGTCCTTCCAATAGATCAGGTCCACCGCTGCAGGAACACAAAGCAATAATTCAAGTCATTTATTGTGACTGTAAAACTGAAAATAAGAGATGTTCTGTCACTAATGATCAATCTGAGCAGGACACATAAAATGTTGTTAAGTCTTAAGTACATATAAAATACATTTGTTAATTGTCATCTGCCTTAATATTACACAACTCAATAAAATTCAGATTTTCAGAGTAAAATGACACAGGAAGTGGCTGAGGGTTAGAGAGGTGAAGAGTGGGTCTCCAGTCTCCATCACAGCTCTACAAACACGTCAGGCCCAGACTGGAGCTAAATATAGACCCAGATGAAGGGGAGAAGCAAGCGGTCAAACAGAATTTAAATGCAGCCTTTTACTGCACCTGCTGACACACGTCAGACTGCGTGCCACACCCCTTTGCCTTTTCTATAGCATCCAGTAACAGCTGCTATGGAAACCAAGGTGTCCCAAGATATGCCATACAGTGACAAAGAAAAAGAACAAGTTCTGCATGCTTTAAGCTGCTGCACTACTCCAGTGAATTTAAAATATAATTTATAGCAGTGGTCCACTAGACACATAGGCATTCCAGTCGTCCATTATCACAAAATACAAAAAAATACCCAAAATATATGTGCAAATGGAAAAACAATTAAAGAGCACAGAACATAAAAACTCAGTATTTATAGTTGGTTCAGAGCTCCATGTACAAAGAATCTTATGTAAGTGGATCACTGAAAACTCCTCACAGTTGTGACCTTTGCACCATCTTATTCAAGGTCACAAGTACTTCCTTTAACCCCAATTTTAAATATAATGGACACCACCTCAAGATTACACACTGACAATAATCATCTAATACAACTGCAGATCCTCAGGAATCTGTCGTATATACACAGTACATACTCAAATGTATGGACATTAAATACATATAATGACCCAGAAACATCTATTTGGACATCATTTAACAAACATATATATGGATTCTCATATGTGCAACTTCAAAGAGAGCAACAATGTGATTTTGTTCAACAAATTAAACATAAACTAGATCCTATTACATTTTTTATCTGCCAATGTTGGTATCATCTTATTTCTTCATTAACAACATGACGTCAGGACAGAGGATATCCAGAGCGCATATAGTACTACAGTATGAAATGCCAAATGTTCTGTGTGAACAAGAAACACTCCAAAGTCCAGCCTGTTAATAATTCAGACCCAAAGAATTCAAGCTACAAAAGTACACATCTCATTAAATTCACACAAGATACTGCCCCTAGACTTGTAAAATGGTAAAAAAAAAAAACTGTAAAAAAAAAAAACCTCCAGATTTCATTACCCAGACAGACATTTCCTCTTTTACACTCATTCCACATGCTTTCTTTTACAGCGTGCTATGACATTTAACTGAACAAATATTTGCTCTGCAGCAAAGCACATATGTACAATCTCACCTTTACTGGCCATTTTGACTGCTGCTCCAGTGTTCCCCTTTACGCCCGCTGTCACTGTCTGTCCCACTGTCTGAGCTCCACTGGTCCTTCTGAGCTGTTTTTGGCTCCCCCCTGCTCGCTCAGCAATCCAAAGGCCTGACAGCCCAAAATAATCTCATCTATGCCACCACCCACCCCTTCTAAAAAGTCATATTTTCTTAAGATTAGGAGTTCTATTGATAATAATAATACACATGTTATAAAGTAAATCTGATGATAAATGTTGTGGTGTTTTTTTGTCAAACTGAAAGAATGTCTTTTCATTTATGTCTATTTCTGTATAATGAAATATGACCACTGCCTGTTTGGTTCCATTATGTCACCAAATAAAATCTCTTGATGCATTACAATTGAAATGTTTGGAAACGTACAAATGAGTTTGACTGGTAGCTTTCTTTAAAAATATACTTTCCTTTTTGAATTACTTCTATTATTGTTTATTATAATACTATAATAATAAATATGTATAAATGTAAGTTGAGCTGGCCTTTGATGCATAGTATATTATAGTATGCAACTATAAATCATAAACTAAATGTAATATAATTCTCCAATGTGTGCTATTTATTCTGGACACTTTATACCCTGTCATCAGCTTAGACAAACATTCATCAGCAAGGTTTTATGATCCCTCCCCCATGTCCAGTCAAATATTCAAACTACGGTCCACTTAAAACACTCTTGTCAACTCACACATAAGTCACCCTCAAAATGTGGATAATATAGCCTTACAAAAGTGCATAACAAAAAGTCACCCAACGCCAGAAATACTTCAGCCATAATTAGCCAGGGACTCTTGAAGGGGGAGGTTACTACGGAAGAACAATGAAGTAGGTGGGTCGTGTGTGTATGTGTTGCCTTTAAGATGTGCTCAAAGGAAATCTGATATTTTCAGCATTGATTACCAGCCTCTTTGAAAGCCAGCACAAAACCAAGAGCCATGGCTAAATGAGGTTTAAAGATACAGTACAGTGTAATACCTGCTACATGAGTCCATATGTGAGACCACACTGTATCAGCCTCTACTAGGTTCAGTGCAGAGAACCAGTGCTCTCTGACCAGCTGTTCCTGAGTGTTGAGTCCTGTAGCAGCCACAGATGATGTGAGGTCTCCAGGCAGCACCCCTCGAGGCGGCACAGATGTGAGCAGCTTCACTGAAATGGTTTCCCTGGAGATAGGGGAAACAGGCTCTGGGGACAGTGATGTTGCTGCAAAAAAACAATATTTGGTCACTATAATCATGAGATTACTGTTTCTGCACATGCTCAGTTTTATCTTCATTGGATAAAACTTCCTTGTTGCAAGCTTACAAAATTGTTAAATTTAGATATTGCTATATGGTTTCACTACAATATGAACATGTCAGTCAGATTCTTTTTGCAAATTCCAGAGTGTGGGTGACCAGAATATTAAACATTTATTGCATCACATACTTTCTTATACAAGGGTGTGTTAATCTAAATAGAAATCACATCAGTATGAAAATAACTTACACTGAAGAGTCTGTGAGCTGGATTGGGAGGGAGTGGAAGTCTGCACTGTGAAACTGCTTGGAGTCTCTTCCCTTTGAAACCCTGTATCTCTCTCCTGAGATTCCTGGCAATGAGGAAGTGGAGTTGTACTCATTTGTCCATAGTTTTCTCCTTCAAAGTTTGTCCATTCTGTATGGGCTGTAGATGGCCATGCCTGCTGCTCACTCGTCTCTGCTGCTGCCTCCTGTCCCTCCTGTGTGAGAAAGGCTTGTTCGTCCCACTCCACATCAGGGGAGTCCAATAGGGTTTCCAATGTGTCAGTGCGAAACAAAGCAGTGCGACTGCTCCTGGAGCCCCCCCTGCGCCTCTCTCTCAAATGCCGTGATGCACCCACAGCCTCAGGCTCAGCGATAGCGATATAGGAGAACGTTAGCTCATACGAATGTTGGCGAGGGGTACCCCAAAGGGATGGAGAAGAGGCCAACCCATCTTCATCATCACCATCTGCTCCTTCATCATCATCTGACCATTCACGGGCAGTCTGTAGCTCACAGAGTTCAGACTCCTCATTCCCACCTGCATGACAACCCAAGAATTAAAGTAAAAAAAAGAAAGATAATTATATCTGAATAAACATTTAAATATCTTAGATAATTGTAATAGATACTGCCATCAAATGCATGTATCTAAAAATGGATCCTGTGCAAAGGAAGCTGTGATCAAAGAACCACTGTTTTGACCTGTGGATTACAACTGTAGACACAGTAAGGGTTGCCCATGTGCGGGCAGAGGTATTGTTAGAACGTACCATCAGTGCATGGAGGGGTCGAGTCTGGTGTTGAAGCCACTGAGCCATACTCCTCTGGAAGACATGAAAACATGGATTTATCTTAAATATATCATTCAATGTATCATTTGCTTCAAGTTATAAAACACACTGGTTGTGACTAAAGGTGATTCAAGGATAGAAGAAATTACCAACAACAAGGCCTTCGAAAGCAAATAGCCTAAAAGCTACCATTATCAATTAGCATTGTATAAAGCATGCTGCTTTTGCAAGAAAGAACATTTAGGTAAATAATAAAAGTTCTGTAGCATTACTACAAACATGCAGTTCAATATAACCTGTTAGTAAAGAAATAATAGAAATTAGAAATATAGAATTTGTTGGCACATGCAATGTGCTATGATATTATTAGACCTAGAAAGTAAACAATTGCAAATATAGATTCATATAGATCATGATGGAAAACCAAATATATTCTCTTTCTTCATCCACTGAGATGGGGCTCAGGCTTATAATAGAGAGAAGAGAGTGTCATGGGGGGTGAGCTAACACACACCGCTCTGAGCAGTTAGCAGGAAAGATGCTGAGGTGGGATAACTCAAAACTGTGACTACTGTGAAAGAAATGGAGCAAACTCACGGCAATGGGAGAATCCTAAAACCTGGCCCATGCTCCATCAAGGCATTGCTGGGCCCACGCAGTCTGGAAGCCCCCCTCCTACTGCACTTTACTCTGCTGCTTTCACATCCAGTGGACAGGCTGTAGTCTTCCTGCGCCTCTGTGCTCCCTCCTGCTTCCCACTCCGTCATTCAACTGCCCCTCCCTTCCTTACTCACCACCTCTCCTCCATCCACTCTGCCTGCATCTGCTCCTGAAGCCCCAGTAGTGGACGCTGTAGCACAAGGTGAACAGCAGCAGAGAGGAGAGATAGGGTGTTGTCATGTTCCTTTCACAGCCAATCTGAAGCCTGTAAACTCACATGCTCTGCCCCTTACTGTGTGACTTCATCTAAGGATCTTAAAGAGATAGGCTTTAAGAGCTTGGTTATCAATAATGCACAGCACATCTGCAGGCAAAGACAGTAGGCAAGAAAGTCATTAGTGTACATGTACTGGTCAATATAATATAGACATTGGGGGGAAAAAAAACCCAAACATTAACAGCCATACATAAAATAGGATAATTTGAAATGGATTAGTTGAAATGTCCAACACTGGATACACTGCAGCTACACTGACACAGTCTCATGTAGAATATAATATGAATAAAGTTTCTTATGTGACTATTAGCGTGTTCCAAGGTAAACAAAGTAATGCCAAGTCAGTGTTCCTGTGTCATCCTTTTGGCATTTATGGACTTAACTGGATAGGTCGAGTGAGGTAAACAAACAGTTACCCAGTATACCTTCCAGAGAAGAGCTGATAATAGGGTTAGTCTACTCATGGGTAGCTAAGGACAAGTATAGGGCTACAACTTAACAATATTAAACCACCCAGTTCCAAAGTAAACCAGGTTACAGGCCTTAAATACATAAACCTAACAAGATTACAACAACTGCTAAAGTAAGTACTAAGTAAAGTAAGTGTATAGAGCATGTTACTTCACAATTATAGCTGAATGAAATTAGTATTCCATCAAGTTATAATAATATAGGTAGGCCTATATAATCCACATTACAATTGTTACAATAAAAAATATTATACTTTACACTGTAAAATACAATGGCAATGTAATTAAGTATAAAGAAGGTTTTCTAAACAAACTGGAAGAATTCATTATCACATTTAACACAGTGGATACGGTTTCAGAGAACCAATTACAGTGTGTGTAAAATAACATGAGCCTAATCCATGCATGTGCTCAGACAAAGGTCAAATGGCTGTAAGGCCAGGTGATTATTAGACTACATTAGTGATGTGGGGAACAGGGAGGAGCCAATACTTAAGTACATACGATCAAAAATAGAGGGACCAATAGACAGTATCCTCGCAGTTACAGTCTGAAGAAACAGTCTGTGAGTTAAGACAGGGTAGAAAAATGGGTTCGATTTTTAAAAGAAAGTACAACATATTTGAACTGTAACCAGAAAAAATAGCTATATTTTGATTTAATCTGTTTATCACCTGATAGGAGTGTCAGAGATTAGCTGTTGCACTGGACCTGCTGAGGAAAACACAACACCGGAGGAGGGGCATCCGGAGGAAACGGGGAACTGCCAGGTCGAGTAGGAGACTTGAGCACAGGCTCCGTGGAGTCATGAGAACAGCCAGAAGAGCCAGCAATGTTGAGGTCCCCTCCTTCCTCAGGCAGCTGGTCAAAGAGACAGAGAAAATGGTCACCTTTTTCTTCAAAGGAGGGTCCAGAGAGAGAGGGTCTGATGAGGAGGACAGTCTGGATGAGGATGACTGCTATCCCAGCCCATACTTGGAGCACCCGGTCCTGGAGAAGCATGTGTTTGAAGGGAGCTCCCATTCTGGACTCAACTATGCAGTGGCCAGTATGCAGGGCTGGAGAGCACAGATGGAGGATGCACACTCCTGTATGCCACAGCTCAGTGGGGAGCTCAAAAACTGGGGATACTTTGCCGTCTTTGATGGACATGCAGGCACCACTGTCGCACAGTACTGCTCCAAGCACCTGCTGGACCGTATGATTGCAACAGGTACTGTTACATTACTTTTCTGCAGTTAAATGCTATGGCAGTTTCTTGACAAACTGGCCATATAAATGTTTCTGCATGTCCAAAATGTGTTCATCAATCAAATCCACTATATTGATATGTTGTGATTTCACACTTGTTTAGGTGGGATTAAGGCCATGGAAGACCCTGACCAGGTGAAGGAGGGGATCCGAAAGGGTTTTCTGGACATTGATCGGCACATGCACAAGTTGGCCCGCCAGGATAATTGGGATCGAAGTGGGTCCACTGCAGCAGCAGTCTTGCTTTCCCCTGAATATATTTATTTTATCAACTGTGGAGACTCAAGAACCCTTCTGTGTCGTGATGGCCAAGTGGTCTTCTACACAGAGGACCACAAGCCATTTAACCCCAGGGAGAAGGAGCGCATCCAAAATGCAGGGGGCTCAGTGACACTGCAGCGGGTCAATGGCTCTTTGGCTGTGTCCAGAGCTCTGGGAGACTTTGACTTTAAAGAGGTGGACTGGAGACCTCAGACAGAGCAGCTGGTCTCACCTGAGCCTGAGATCTATGAGATGGAGAGGGCACCTGAAGACGAGTTCTTGATTTTAGCCTGTGATGGTGTCTGGGACGCCATTGGAAATGAGGAACTTTGTGCTTTTGTGCGCAGCCGTCTGAAAGTGTGTGATGACCTACGAGAGATCTGTGCCCAGGTCATAGACCTCTGCCTTTATAAGGTAAAATAAAACCTGTATATATATATATATATATATATATATATATATATATATATATATATATATATATATATATATATATATATATATATTACTGTTAAATTATATACACCCTTAAGGCATATTAGCCAACTATATTACAATTAAATGAATGTGCATGCTTGTAGAACAGTGTTTCGAAGCAGATTCATGAATGGGTTTTCTTTACAAAGCACTGGGACAGGACAAGCAGGTGAGACTAAGCACCGTCTCTGTGAGTAGGAATTACAGTAAGGTCATTACATAAGAAGATAATGCCTGTTAGTACCATCTGAACCCTTACGCACCTACAGGCTGCCTATAAATAGATGTCTTAGGCAACACAGGAGATGTATGTACACATGGGCTGGATTAAGATTAAATGTGAGTGCTAATCAAAACTAAGGGATATTGTGAACTCCACCCCTGTTCACTGTCACTGTAGGCTACATAAAAAAAATATATAGATGATATGAATGTAAATTAGATTTATTAGAATTAGATCTTTTTATACTTAAACAAATGTCCCTACAGCCTCATATAAGCCCACTATATAAAAGAAAAGTCCATATTGAGTTGCCTGCCTTGTCTCCCCCTGCAGGGCAGTCTGGATAACATGAGCATCATCATTGTGTGCTTCCCTGGAGCTCCCCAGCTGTCCCAGGATGCACTGCAGCGAGAGGCTGAGCTGGAGCAACACATTGAAATGAAAGTGGAAGGTGTTGTATTGCTTTTAATAATATAACATGATTAATATTGTTTACTATTAAAAAAAAAAACTATATTTTAATCCTTGCTTTTTCTGCACTTTAACAGAAATAATCCAAATGATGAGATCAAAAGATGAAGATCCAGATCTACTGTACGTTATAAAAATCTTGGCTGCAGAGGAAATACCAGAGCTACCGCCAGGGGGCGGCATTACAAGCAAGTATGTGTAAATCCCTGATTTACAAACCCGGGTTTCCTAAAACCAAACAACTAAATAATTGCTTTTGTTTTGCTTATAGACGTGACTGCATAATTTCAGCCTATCAGAAACACATTGTCAGTGGCAGAAGTCAGGAACCAATGGTAAGCTAATACAGATTTTATGAACAAACATTTAACAAGTGTTACTGACTGCATATATGATGATGATTGATTTACTGCTTTTAGGATGTCGAGGGATCAGAAGAGGACTCAAGATAAAGCTTTGATCACGGATGTTGCCAGGAGAATAATATGCACGAAGCTGGAATTGTTATTAATAAAATCTAAGTTTGTTAATATAATGTAATCACAATAATAAAACACAATTAGATCAACCTAGTGTGACTGCAGTCTACACATGCATCCACAGCTCACGTGTATGCCCTGTGTAAATGCAACGTGAGTGTGACCAAGTAATTAGTTGATTTCCACAGAGTCGTTAGGAAGCAAAGGTGACAAGACTCACATTGGCATGCTATAGAAAGACCAAAGCACTGTAGAATATACTTGGGGAGAAGAAAGCCAGGGGAAGGTTGACAATAGGCAATAGCATGTGAGAGGCCACACAAGCAAAAAATAAACATAGTCAGAACAAGAATGCTTCCAAGAATTAGCCTCATACCTCATTAAATCTGCATGTGTCAGGCATGTGAGTATTGTTTGTTTAAGATTATACAAAATTATTGTATATTAGAAACAACATCTTATGTAAAAATGTAAATACTGCAAAAGATCAGGGGCATTGGACTGGGGGGTTGTAAAAGGTACTGTTTAACCGGGGCCCAGTGCAGGGAAGGGACCCTCACAAAGTCTATAATATGTATTTTTCAAGACTATTTGTATCCAATGATTTGTTACAACAACTGATCAACTAACACACATAATGATTTATGAAGACTACAAACATCAATAAATGCATTAATTTTAAGCAACAGGATAGGCTCCATCTGCATAAAGCGGAGAGGGGCTTGTTCCAGGAATCACAAGTTCAGCAGAATGTGTGGTAAGGGTGTGTAAGATCGGCACCTCTGTATGAATTGAGTCTGCAGAGTTTTTATAGGACACCAGTGCCCCTCTCTCCTCCTCACAGTCGGATATTCAGCTACAAGTCATTTTTACTTGGACGGACAGGAAACGTAGAGACAAACCTGAGGGAAGGCAACATATAGAGTGAGTATGCATTGAAATTTGGTTAGATAACTAGTTCCTTGGATACTACTTGAGTTGAGTTCATAAATCATCAAACTAAACAGGGTATTATGCTCATGTTTAAGGGCAAAATTAGGCCTACTCTTGTATTGTATGAAGTATTGCTTCATTGATGTTTGCAGAGGGGGTCAGCCCTATGTTCCCTCAGACCAGTGTTCCCTTATTTCGAAGATTTTTCAGAGTAATTTCAACCTAGGTTTCTTTGCACCATGACCTCTGCATTACATCTGTAGTATTCTGCTGCTGGATAATAGGTCGGGTGTAAATGACAAAAAAAATTGGGAGAAATGGGGATAAAAGGAACAGTGGGAATATAGGGCCTAATTTTGGAAAGAAAAAAATACCTTAGAAATGAGGGAACATGGGGCTGAGAGAACAGAGGCACGCTGAGACCTGGATTACATTTAAACCTAAACACTTTAGCAGATCTTTTAAAGACTTAAAATCTGTCTGAATGAAATGAAGAGCCCTGCAGCTCTTTACGTGCACGTCAGTGACACGCAACAGTGGCACCTGTGAGTAGTTAATAGATAATTCTCCGCACCTCTGGCGGCTGCGGTTTGGGTACGATACGTTCATCCTGTCACTGGAGATGATCTGTCTGCAATAACCTAATTTGTGGTTCAAACAAAACAAAGATGGAGACTTCACGGTATGGAAAAAGACCTAACAAACACGTCAAAATAAACTGATTACATGTCTTAACATGGGCTCAAGTAGCTCAGTGTGTTGCTCAATGTGTCACTTAACTACAACAGGATGACCCTGAACGTCGGTGGCCCGGGCTATGGCAGTTTGTCCAATCCCGGGTTTTCGAACAGTGTGGGTGGCACCGAGGCGGCACCGCTGCTGATCCAAGAGCATGAGCCGGAAACGCGTCAGGAATGGCGACCTCTCACCAGGGAGCAGTTGGAAGATGCAGCAGGAGGCGCGGGATGGAGAAAGTTTCGCTTTTACCTGGTGTTGCTGTTCTGGCTCTCCTGGGTTGCATTACTCGCCACGGCTATCGCCATCCTCGTGATGACGCCCAAACCAGTGGCCCAGCCGCTCAAATGGTGGCAGAAATCCTTGTTCTACCAACTCCAGCCAGCCCTGGAGTTCGATGCTACAATGGAGCGATCTGGGAACCTCAATGGTGAGATTAGCGCATAGTAAAACATCATGTCATTATGAAGTCATTACAGTGGCCTAGAGGCTCAGGATTTAAAAACTGTAAAGCATGACCCATGGCCTACTGTTGTCACTATAGAGGTCTTTTATTCAGTAAACGAGTTATTTTGAATTTGAGAGAAGGGACTCCAACTTTGTCTTTTCAGGCTCTTAAATCATTTTACAGGCAAAGTGGATAATATAGGCAGAATGTCTGGTATTTTAGGCAAAGCAGGGATAAAGGTTTTATTATCTACTTTGCATGCCTAGTGTCCTAAGGCAATGGGTGAAAAATGGTTTTATATCTTATTTTATTAAAGGCAAGTTTTAGCAAGATTTTATTTGATTGCCATAATAGCCTATCATTATTGAGATTTTGAGATATTCATATTTGTCAATATACCCCTAATGGCAAGAGCCTCACATCAAACATAGCCTACTAAAACATTTGTAGTCACTATTATGTCAAATATGTCTATT